TCTCCAGAGACTCAACGTGAGATTCAGCAGTGCCCCTCCCCAAACAGTGCCAAAAAGACTTTTCCTCCCGTTTCCCTCTGCAAACCTCACTTGCTCTTTGCAGTCCTCAAAATATATGCTGTCCCCCAAATATTGGGCCTCTCTCAGGGCCCAATATTTGGCTCTCTTTCTTGCTCTTCCTGATGCCTGGGTGCTGGTAATGGCAGCAATGGGGACTCCGGTGTCATCCCATCTGCAGTGATGCCCCATGCCTGGCCCCAGCCCTTGAATGCCACGTATCTTGTCATGTCTGTATAGCAGAAGGATTAAAGATAAGGGAAATGTGTTGCTGAGGCAATGCTGGGAATAGCACCCACCTTCTTGTGCCAAGTATTCATTCTCGATGATCCTGGCCAGGCCAAAATCAGCAATTTTGCAGCAGAGTGTCTCCGAGACGAGGATGTTGGCAGCTCTCAAGTCTCGGTGGATGGAGTTCATGCGCTCGATGTACGCCATTCCTTCTGCCACCTGGGGGAGGAGGAAGAGTCTATCTTCATCGGTCACCTCCCCATGACAAGTTAGCTTGGCTGCATCTTAGACCACCTTTACAAAAGCACGGCATGTGTATAGGGTTGCTCACATGCCTCACATGCATACATGCTCCATGGATGGACAGACAGATCACCAGACAGAGAGAAAAACAGGTAGACAGACACATACATGCATAAATGGATATTGTCCATGTATGTGTGTGTGTATGTTCATCTCCACCAGCCTACACCCGACCACCAAATCCTTCAGCAGACAGGTCAGGCACAGCAGAAGCATCACTTTGCTTTTTGCTCAGAAGTTACGGCAGTAACTTCTTACTTGCCTGCAGCGGGACGCAGAAAGGTGAAGCAAACCACATCACTGGGTTCACAGTTTCTGCCACAAGACTCTCCTCTCTAGCTGGGATTTTAATCACAATCATTCCAGGCTAAATATGTAAATTAAAAAACCCTCAGAGAACTTGTCCGTCCCCCAGTTGTGGTAGCAAAGTCCAGGTCTAGAAGGACAACTAGATGTTTTTCAGAGACCTCCTCTGTTCTCCCTCACTGATCTACTTTGGGATGGGGAGGACACCCCTGGAGATCCTTCCACAATAAAGTTGAGGCTGATGTTTTCTTTACCTGGACCCACGACACAACACAATTCTCCCCTGACACCTAAAAGCATCAGAGCAGAAGACCCAGATACCCATAGAAATAAGACTGGGTTAGAGAGTGTGTCCCTGGATGAATCCCTTGCCCTGGATGTGTGCTGCCTTCTTCAATCATCTCCAAACTTTACTTTGTGAGATTCTTGCTCCCAGGATCATCTTGCGATGTTTAGCTCCTTGGAGCAGGGAGCAGCCCTGGGGAGGTGCCTGGTGTGTGACGAGCCTCTATAAATGACAGCAGCAATCTTATATTGCTGGGTGATGGGAGATATAGAAAAAAAACCCAAACACTGCGAAGTTGCTCTGTCAGTCGAGTCTCAGATTTATCAGGAGGGAGAGTGGATTCACGCAACCCCTGAGAATAATGGTTAGTACTTATTAAAGGTTTTATGTGCCTGTGGGTGAGGGCAGAGCAATTTTCCACTCCATGCAGATTCAGATCAGCATCTTGACTTACATGTGGTTTTAAACAGGATACTAACACATACTTTCCAATGCTGCGTTTCTAACCTGTGTCAACACCCCTTCAGCGCAAGTGCTGTTTGCTGCAGTGGAAAATGGAAGAATTGATGTAATTTCCTGTCCTGATGTTAATGAGATAGTACCCGGTGATGGGCCTGTTCTAGCCCAGCGTGTTTTCAAGCATATAGGCTCGAGACTGACCACAGGAGCAAGTGCATCAGCCCAAAGATTTCTAATTTTAACTCTGGCGGGTGCTATTGGATCCAAAATCGCGCTCACGAGGGCTGGGTGCCTGTTGGGCCATGATGTCACCCCAACACCGCAGATAAACAGATTGCAATAGAAGAGCAAGTAAGAGACTGCCCTTTCCCTCCTCCTCTTGCCAGAGCTACCCTGTGCATGTGTTTGAACTGGGGAGGTGGTGCCTGGATGGGAGGAGGAATGATGAAAGGTGTCCTTCCAATCGGCACCCATGCCTTGGGGGATGGGCAAAATCCTTCCTACCCCACCTGCTGCAGATGGGTTCTGTAGATTATTTCATTGTTGGGGTGTTCTTCGACTATCCTGGTCCTGGAAGCAGTGCACAGTGCAGGATGCTGCAAAGAGCATGGAGGGGTGCAAGAGGGGTGTGCAGGGTGGGTGACTGCTTCCAGGTGCCCAGGTGAAGTCCATGCTCAACCCTAGAGATGACGTCCACTGTGGGGACTATTTGACTGTTGTAGTGAATGGGTTTCTGGCCAGCTCAGATCATGCTACATGATCACATTCAAGAAGTCAACCCTGAACTCAGAGAGGAGGTTTGGGTGCATGTGGTTACCCTGGGATGGGTATCTGCCAGGGGTTCCTGCAGCCCAGTATGTGGTCAGACCTATATCACCCTTGTGCCTGGGACAGACATGATCACTGGCCTCTTCCCAGCTGCTTTCACTCACCTTCCTGGAAATGCTTTGTTGTTCCACCTGCTCGATGTAAGATACAGTGTTGTGTTAAATAAATTCATGAGCGCTTGTAGCTTCTTCTGTCCCTGCCTCAATGCTGGGTATGATGTCAGCCCACAGCTTTGCAACCTGAGTGCAGGTTGCTCTGGCTATGGCGCTTTCCTCTTAGTTTCTGGGGTAACACTCCCACTAAAGCCAAGGGCTCTGTGTTATGGATGAATTTGGTCCGTTCTGCTTATCATCAGGAAATTAAAACAAACCACGGGCTAAAAGTTCAAGACAAAGAATGAAAGAATGAAAAAGAGAGAGAGAGAAGTAGGAAAGTGAAGAAGGAAGGAAGGGAGGAGGGAAGGCAGGAAGGCAGGAAGGAAGCAAGGAAGGAAGGAGGGAGGAAGGAGGGAGGGAGGGAGGGAGGGAAGGAAGGAGGAAAAGAAGGAAGGAAGGGAGGAAGGAAGCAAGGAAGGAAGGAGGGAGGGAAGGAGGAAAGGAGGGAAAGAAGAAGGAAAAGAAGGAAGGAGGGAGGGAAGGGAAAGATACTAAACAGGGAGACTGCAGTTAACACCATAACTTCTCACAGACGACAAAGATAAAGTTGCAGATACATAAGTTTTATCAGTCGTGAAGAGGGAAGGCACTGAAAGTGACAAATGGGGACACTGCTTTAAAGTACTTAAATATTTTCATCCTGGTCCAAGCTAAAAGGAAAATCTTTTGTTATGATATAGCATTTGTTCAAAAGATTGTCCAGTTTTTATTACATTTTAAAATAACTCTGTAGGATATCTGGAACTGAGCAACCAGGCTTTACAAGTTGTTTGCTCAGACTTATTTTGACCCAGAGAGGTCAGGTGATCTTATGGGTAAATCCCAGACCTGTACATCATAACAGCTGTATTCAGCCATGACACTGATGCTTCATGGTTGGTTTTTTTCCCTCCAATATTTCCAAAATTAACCTAACTCTGCTCTGGATGAGCCAAACTCTCTCAACAGCTGGCTAGGACCAAGGTGGAGCGATTTTGTGATTTTGCCGATCTCGCCCTTCATGCACAACTTGTTGCTAAGGTGCTGCCACTCTAGTTGCACTTGCCCTAACTTTGACCTGTTTGATGCACTTCTGGACTAAAATGTACCACTAACATTTAGAGCCTGAGAGGGAAACAGCCCTACACAGGTAAAAATTTGCTCTCATAAGGAGTATTTCCAGATTTGAGAGTCAGAACATCCTTCATCAGAAGAACTGCTGAAAGTCAGTGTGTCTCTACATTGGAAGTCTCTTTGTTGAGATTTTTCTTACTTGTTTGTAAAAAGAGAAACTTATTTCCTGCTCAGCAAGCCAGAAAAGCAAGCAAAGCAAACCAAAACACTCCCCAAAACAAACAAAACCCAACCCCCAGTTCCCCAGCACTGCACAAAGTTCCCCAGAGGCTGCCCTAAGGACGGCAGAGCATTGCTGAGCTGACATGCACATCAGCACAAGAGGGCTGCGAGAGAAACCCTGAGAGAGCACACCAGGACGTGCTGGTTTTGTCCATGAAGTCAACGCTCTGGCAGTCTTCAGCCTTGCAAGAATTTCACTGGGGCAGTAACAAATCATGGTCCTGAATGTGTTTCCCAGAGGCTGTTCACTAACCTGAGCAGACATATCAATAAGTTTGGGGAGATTCAATCGGCTTCCTTGTTCTGTCTTCAAGTAATCCAGCAAACACCCTGCGGAAGAGGAGAGGCTGCTGTAACACTTCTGAAGAAGTCTATACATTTGCTTTCCCCAGTGCTTCTCAGAATATGGGCAGCACATCTGGCCACAACCTAGATAAATTCTGATAAACCATAATGAGTGTCTGCTAGAGCATCTTCCATTAGGAAAGTTCCCAAACACAGCCCATTTCCCCCCTTTACTTTGCACCGACCTTTTGGAAACACCTGGGCATTCATCACTCAAAGCAGCAGCAAAAGAAAGTGCAATTTTACCACAATGGGCGTTAAAATCTGCAACAAACTTCCAGTAGGAACAGTGTAGACGAGAACTTTCAATACTTTTCAAATGGAGCATCACTGTTTTGTGAAGTAGCTTTTGAAATATGAGACCACAAGAGGCAGGTTTTCATTGCCCAGAATGTCCTTTCCAGTACTAGAAACAAACTTAGAATCATAGAATCATAGAACAATTCAGGTTGGAAAAGACCCTTGAGATCATTGAGTCCAACCATTAACCCTACACTACAAGTTCACCCCTAAACCATGTCACCCAACACCACATCTAAGCGACACTTGAACACATCCAGGGATGGTGACTCAACCACCTCCCTAGGCAGTCTGTTCCAGGGTCTGTGTTCTGCATCTCTTAGTCCTTTTGCTTACAGTTTTGGTACAATGCCCTCCTCTCCACTGCTATTTTGCATGGGAGTACTAGTTGGCTCATTGACCTGATTTTGCAGAAACCCAACAAAAAAAATCTCAGTGTCTTTACCATTGGCCATGTACTCTGTCACGATGTAGATTGGCTGCTTCGTGACCACTGCGTATAGCCGGACCAGTTTGTTATGCTGGAGCCTCTTCATCAAGTTTGCTTCTGCTAAGAAGGCATCGGGATCCATGCTGCCCTCCTTCATGGTCTTCACAGCCACCTTGATGTTGTTCTTGTAATAGCCTGCAGACAAATCATGATGCGTTGAAGAGTTTTGGCCTCTCTACAGGCTCTATGAGGTCTTGCACTAAAGAGTAGAAGAACTTGTGGATCAGGGAGCTGAAAACCACAGCTTCATCAAGGTTCATCCCTGCTCTGGGTGATGGACATTGATGTAATGAGCCTGTCCTCACAGAATCCTCCTAGCCCTGCAAGACTCTTTCTGGGTGAAATCCCTACGGCCTTCCACCAACCAGGTTTTCAGGTAATCCAAATGACATCGAAAAAACAGGACTTTGCAGTAAGGATGTCGATTCAGCCTGATCCTATCCAAAATCTCAATTGCCAAGGCAACAGGCAGCCACAAAGAGGACAGCAAAGGAAGCTGAGCTCACCCCACTTCCTCTTCCACTGATTAGCACTGGGCAGGAAGGCATATGGGATTGAGATCTGGGTTATAAGTTGGAACAGAGAAACAGAAAAAGTGAGATAGTGTCACCCAGAAACCCTGTTGTGTATAACTCTGGATCCTACAACCATGCCCAGGATTCCTAGGAAAAATGAAAGGGTGTCTCAGGAGATGAGTGTGTAGTTACTCCAACACCGCTCACAGACATCTAGCCTAGGAAACCCATGTTCAGCCACTGATCTGTGCAAATACAACCTGTCTGGTCCTTCCCAAGAGTATGGCATCTACTGCTGTGTGTACTCATAAATATAGAATCGTAGAATCAGAGAATCAGAGAATGTTCAGGGTTGGAAGGGACCTCCAGAGATCATCTAGTCCAATCGCCCTGCCAGAGCAGGATCCCTTAGGGCAGCCACACAGAAATGCGTCCAGGTGGGTTTGAAAGTCTCCAGAGCAGGAGACTCCACAACCTCTCTGGGCAGCCTGGGCCAGGGCTCTGGCACCCGCACAGGGAAGAAGCTTCTCCTCATGTTGAGGCAGAACTTCCTGTGTTCTAGCTTACACCCATTATTCCTTGTTCATGCTTTAGGATCCCCGCATTCAGACTAGTCCTGTCTTA